GAGGATCCGGAAATGAGAGATAAAAGTTGCAGATGTACATTTATAATAGTCATGATCATTTATCTCTTTAGCTCTTTAAATTAGTATGGATCTTTTGTGTTGTTTTGTTCTTTTGATTTGTAAGATATCCAGTTTTTGTAATGGATTTTGATAGACTGGATCTATGAAGAGCTGCAGCTGAAATGCTACTATGTAGGGTGATGATCTGATGATGAAATTAAGGTTAATTAGATACACAGTTTTTGTGGTTTTTTTTCTTCTTGAGGAGGGGTGCCCAGTGTTGGGGGGTTGTTGATTACGTAAGCCAGCTGTTCTTCAGGGGAAGGGGGAGCGCAGATCATCAAAATCAGGAAAACAACAAAAAAACAAAAACAACCAACAAGAACCAACCAACCCAACCCAACCATGACCAACAACACTCACTCACCATCAAACAACAGCCACACTACCACCAACCACTCACCATCACCACCACCACCAACAACAGAAGAACCAACAGAACAACCGAAACCATCAGAACCAGAAAAACCATCAGAACCATCAAAACCAGAAAAAACAAAAACAAATTACACCCAGCAACTCTGTCAACAGATCCATCAGGACATCAACCACTTCAACCAATCACTCAACTCACTCACAACAACAACAACACCAGCAACAACAACAACAACAGAAACTGAAACAGAAACAACCATAATCCATCAGATCATCAAACTCATCCAAGCTAACAACCAACACACCCTCAGCCTATTCCAATCATCAGTCCAAACCATATTCTCAGAAGTACTAGACTCAGTCCACACTCACTTCTCACTCGACCGAAACCAACAGCAACTGATCGAGATCGACAGGCAGATCATCGCCAACGCTCAAAACTCAGACCAGGAAACTCGAGAACGACTACAAGCGATCCTCATCCAGCAAAAGCATCAGCTCACCAAACAGATAACCGAACTACAATCCCATCTCACTCACTCCATCAACAAAACCCATCAGCAGCAGCAGCAGCAGCAGCAGCAGCAACCATCAGCAGCAGCATCATCATCATCATCTTCATCATCATCAATCAATCCAAATATCCATCCAAACCTACAACAGGAACAAGAACAGACTCACCCATCCTCCTCATCTCACCCACCTCAAAACTCAATCAACTCCCCAACACCAACAAGAACATCATCAGCACTACTGCTCACTACCAAGCGTAAACGAGCCGAACAACCAACTTCAACAATCGAATACGACGAAGCACTCCTCGACGAATTCTCGATCCCAGACCATCTCAGCTACTCTCAATACTTGAAGCGATCACAGCATCGCACCCTCAATCTACACCATTCCATCTCAACCAACCCAACACAACCACCCATCTCCAACGATATCTCAGTCCTACCTATCACCCCCTCGAGTAATAATAATAATAGTCCAACTGGTGCTCTCAATGGAATCCCTTCAAACTCCGACCCAGCACTCACCCCTCCTTCCTTCCTCCCCAATCCTGCCCTCCTCGAAAACTATTTCAAACCCTGTTCAAGTGGAAGCAAATCTTCGCGTCGTAAGCACTTCCTTCTCTCTATCGGAGGGCGTTCATTGAAAATTAATCACTTTTCTTTATATCATAGGCCAATCTGCTATTCTTAGGAATTTAGTTAGGTAGGTAATTGTTTTCAAAAAAGTTATAAAAGTTAAGATAAAACTAACGTGAAAAAAAAAAAATCATCGATCCAGTGCGGCATTAGGAAAGTTAATTTCACATGTAACCAACAATCAACAGATGCATTGGCCAGGTTCAGATACCGAAGAGAGGCTCGCAGCCATAGGGCTTCAGATCGAGCTTCTAGGGGGATCCAAGTTGACGACCGAAGTGATCCACAAGGGGCCGAAGAACTTACAACTCCAGCAGTGCAAACGGATCCTACTGGAGCTCGAGTTGGGACTGATCCGACTGAAGCAGATCAAGGCGGTCCCGAGGCCATTGCGAGGAGCCAAGAAGAAATTCAAGCCGCTCGACTCGCCCCAGCTCTCACTGGTCCATCCTCTCCATCAGAGCCAGCTCGACAACCAGACCGCCGCCACGCCCATCTCCGTCCCCGACATCCTCGCCATCGCCCCCTCCTCGAGCTCCTCTTCCGCCGAGCTCGCCTACACCAACACTGCCCCCAGTCTCGCCGAACAACACAGCCCGAACGTGCTCGGCAAGAACTTCGAGAACTGCGACCCCGCCCTACTCAGTCTCAGCCCCGCCTTCCCTGGCTTGGTCCCCTCCGATCAGTCCGGAGCTCAACCGACTGGATCCGAGGAGCCCAGGAGCACTGACCATCGCGACCTCGTCCATCGATATATGAGCTCTAACGTCCACCCCAATAATAACCCGTTCGTCGATCATATAACTATCACCACCTTGCTCTTCTACGGATCCTAACCGTCTTCTTCTTCTTCCTGGATTTTTCTCTACCCAGCAAACACTCTTATATCGATGATTTTCCGAACGGCGATCATGAGGCTTTCATGGATTGTGATGATGATCAAGAGCCTCTTCATCATCATCAGCAGCAGCACAGCCATCAGAATCATGAGCAGAATCAGAATCAGAATCACGAGGGACAGTCGGATGTCGACCTCGGTGTGCAAGAGTCGGATCTCGACGATCCGGCCGACCGACATCTTCATCAAAACGAGAGCCAGCTCCGCAGGAAACTTCTGAACGTTTAGCGCCCTCTGACTTTTCTTCCTTTTTCTGTTTTTTTTTTTTTGGTTGGGGTCTTTTCTGATTGTCTCGCCATTACATCCCGTTCTCGTCGGTCCACTAATCACCACAAAAGTATCAAAAAAATAAAAATCCTCGTGTTTTTCTTGGTGATGGTTCCTCGTGCGTGTGTGTGTGTTTGTAATCAATCGCTTTCTCTCGCTTGTCGGCTCTTTTGGTGTTGCTTCTGAATATCGCTCGGGCTTTTCTTGCTCTGTGTTGCGCTCTCGTGGGCATTTCTTTTTGTTTCTTGACTTGCTCTTCTTCCCTCTTCTCTCACACACTCTCTTTCTCTCTCTACGTGCCCTCCCCGTCCACCCTATCTCTCCCTTTCCCTCTCCTCTCTCCTTCTTCTTCCCCCCCCCCCCTTCTTCCCTCCCTTTTCCTTCTCTCTCCTCTCTCTTTTCCAATGCGTTTGGGGAACAATCAATGGACC